ACCAGTTGCACTATTTGAAATGTGCAATTTGTTTTTCTGTATTCTATATTTTTGTTTCCTAAGTTCCTTAATTTGTGAATCTGTAATTCTGATTTCTGAATTTGGTTGCGGCAAATACTAACAGTCTTGGATTACATCTTCATGAGAAAGTCGGTGTGCTTACCTTGGCTGTTGAGGTTAGTGGTTCCCCTTCAATCTGTTGGTTGTTTGCCCCTTTCCTCTACTCTGCTTGCCCCAACGCAGAGGAGATCTTCATCTTTGATGTGCTGGTTGTTTTCTCCTTTCCCCTGCTCTACGTCGGGGATCTGATCTGATCTGCACCTAGAGCAGTGCTCTGCTTGCCCCCACGCAGAGATCTGATCTCCACGCAGGTCAGAGGCTTCCCCCTGTTTGCTCTGCTTGTTTCTCAAGTATATCGATTGCTGTTTTGGGGCTTATGTGCTGGCACATCTTTAGTGGGCCTCTCTGTCTTCTTAGTTATTGGGCTCTGGGCTGACTTACTCTTTACTTGGATAGAAGACAACCATAAAAAACTTGGATAGAAGACAACAACAAAAGACAAAAACAACAGAGTCGTGGGCCTTGTTTGTCTGATGGAATTTGTGTGTTACATTCTCCTAAAACACATGTTTTTCCCGTGTTTTAATTCGTGTGTTTCTTAGGTTCCAACAACCATGTGCTAGCTAGTCCAAAAACACATGGTTTTTTCTGAGTTGGAATCTGTGTGTTTTACATGCAGCCAACAAATATGTGTTAGCTTGTGCTAAAATACACGTTTGTAGAGTAGATAGACTCTATTTCTATGGCTCCGGTCCCTCTATAAAAAAGGCTCTAGCTTCTTTGGGTTCCTTGTAACGTGCCCTTTTGTAGATGCCCGTTTAGCAAGGCTTCCTGCAAGGATTCATGAGAAGCTAGAGCCAGAGTCCTGCCAAACAGAACCTAACACATAATATAGAGCATTGTACATGAAAGCAAAATTAGAGAACCACAATAATTTTAAGCTAATCCATCTCCCTAGTACAGGTTTGGCTAGTATAGTGGGTCCTAACGTCTACCACTAATTACCGCCTGCATAGCTCCTCCTCCCAATTAGCAAAGCAATCTGCTTGATGTGCTGGCCTAAAGAATTCCGCCCTGTTCGTTTGGGCTTGTTTGACTTATAAGCCATGGCTGAAAGTACTGTTGACTGATTTGATGTGAGAGAAAAATACTGTTCGTGGACTAATAAGTCATGGCTTATAAGCCAAATACAACCGAGCGAACGGGCTGTTCATCTGTGCGAAATCCTTCCATGATCTGTCCTCCTAGTTCCTTCATTTTCCTTTTTCTTGACACGTGCACTCCACAGCATGCATTAAAATGACGTATGATCTCCACTACACTATTTTAAATGCATTTCTTCACCAGTGTCACCAACTCACCATATGCACGTGTGATCGGGCCTAGAGAGAGAGATACGATCACCAGCAGCTCTGCATACGTTGCGGCTACCAGTATAGTATAGGTATAGTGTACGTATGTGTTCACCAGGTGATCGAGCCCGGGCACCGGCCCGGGGTGGCCGGGCCTTGGCTCCGCCACTGTTAAAGAGGGTCTGACTGAACGCTACTCTAGAATTGCATCCTATAGAACAGATGTAGTTAATTACAATAATTCTATAGAAAAAATACATAATGCAATGTCTGCATGACTTCTCCACAATCAATCCAGCAATCCTAGAATCTGATAGGGCGTGTAGCTTGCTCTTCAGGGGATTAGAGGAACCTAGAGGAGAAGTGGGAAAAGAGAAGGCTATAGTTTGTCGGTAATCACTGGCAATTTTTAGGGTATGGCAAGGCCCACCATGATCACCATTTAGGTCTGCCACTGGTTGATAGCAGAACAAAACGAATGTCTCGCAAATGACTCCCTCCTCTCCAAAATGTACTAAAGAGGCCTAACATTTGTCCTAAGTCCAAATTTCGACGAATTTGCCAGGTTTATAAAAATATCACCAACATCCATATTTTTGTAGATATTTATTAGTTAATGATCGAAGCTCAATAAATGTGACAAATCTGGATAGGCCTTTGCAATCTAACGAAAGCTAAGGCCAGCTTAGGACCATTTGATTTCGGTCGATCGGTCCCTTCTTTGGGGTTAAGAAATTCTCGTGACCCGTTGGGCATCATGCATGGTCATCATCATCGTTTCCTTTGTTTTTTCCCCTGGCTGGAGAGCATCAATAACCTAGTCACGGGAGGATAGAAAACGGGATTGAACGGGCCTACGTGTGTCCCCTAATCAACGTGCAGATTTAAGGCGTTCCAGCCCTACCCTTCACACGCGCAACTAATCACACCCTGATCACGAGACCACCATGCATGTAGGACCACCATCCCTCAAGTTGTAGTATTATAGGCTATGGCTCCGTTCGCTTCGCTGAAAAAAAACGAGCCGAAACATTATTCTGACTGATTTGTTATGAGAGAAAAATATTGTTCCAGCTAAAAAAATAAATTAAAAAGTACGAATTATAAGACAAGCGATCAGACGTGTATATATAGGAGTATATACGCCACTGTATGTCTGTATCCCGGGTCTGTGCATATGCCAGCGCGTGGTATTATTTCTGGGCTCTGCAGGTCTCCACTCACGTTTCACCGTTTTTATTCTCTCGCACGATTTTACCATCCAGTACATTCACTCAGTACTGCTACTCCACTACTCTAGGTGTTCTACGCCACTAGAACAATGTTCAGTGAGGAATATTGCTAACGTACGGTTGGCAGTTTCGCGTAATAAGAGCATCCGAGAACTTTTCTAAATCTTACTCTCTAAATCATGATTTGAAGTCATTTGTATAAAAATCGATTTTTATATTTTTTTATTGTCCAATAGTTTTTCTATATCTCATACGTACTCTAGAGAGCCATTATTGTCTTCTATTTTTAGCTAGCGAAAAATCCGAAATAGAAGATGGCTATATTTAATAACCATTTAAAAGAGTTGTTGGAGAGTAGTTTTACATAAAATCTCTATTCCTAACCTTTACTCCTTTAGGATGGATACAAAGAATATCGCGAGAGGCGCTTGTCGTATCATCGACCGATCGACGACGGACTCCTTGGGAGTTCCGGTGCACAAAAACAGAATAAACCCGGGTTTCCAAGCACTGGCGGGGGCAAGTCGTGCAGGCAATGGCGCAGTGGCGGCGGTGGTGGCTGCGTGACGGAGCGGCAAGCAAGAAATGGAATGCACCGGCCGTCGTCCCGTCCCGTCCCGTAGCCGACCGAGAGGCGAGAGGACGGGGCAGGCAGTGCGCTGCGCTCCGGGATCTGGGCGCTTTCCTCGTGATCCCAGCCAAAGCAGATGCTTGACGTGCCAATTATACAAATCATCGGGCACCAGGCATAACGCTACTAGTTTACCACTAAACTAAAGCGGATAAAAGAGAAGCCGCCGGCCGCCGCCGGCCGCCGGCCGAAGACACAACAAACAATCTCTCTCCGAGTAGAGAGCGAGGAGCACTCGAGCAAGCCAGGTCAGGTCAGGGGGCGTGGGGCATGGGCATCCGGCACCGGCAGGCATCCTCCATTGTTGTCCTTCCCCACCGTAAAACACTTTGGATTAAAGCTAAGCTAGCACTAGGAAAGCGAGTAAAGCACTCGAAGATCCATGCCCAACTAGGCGGAATGATACAATGATGCAAGAGCAACAGCGCCTGATGGTTTTTTTTTTTTATAAAAGAGAGAGATAGAGGGAAAAAAGGAGCAGCACTGAATATGAATACTGATAAGCAAGCTTGGCCCGCCCTCCCCTGCTAGCATCAACGACACAATACCACCGTCGCCTTTCGCGCGACGCAGCTTTTGATCATTGCGGACTTGCGGTTCACGCCGCGGCATTGCTAAAGCAACGGCGGTAGCTACAGCAGCGAGGCAGCAGTGATAATGCGTTGGCGTGGGCGTGGGCGCGGGCGCGGCCAAGGCGAACGGAACGGCAGGCGAGGCGTGGAACGGCAGCTGCTGCATGCGTACCACCGGGAGCGGGAACGCGACGCGGCCGTGCGTGCGGGACAGATCTGCCTCCTCGTCCTCCTCGGCTCTCCGTGCTGTTTGCAGTTGTTCGCGGCAGCTCGCGGATGGCGACCCGGGCAGGTGCGTTGCAGTTGCAGCATGCCTGGAGCAGGAAGGGCGTGCCCTTGTACTGTCACCGAGCCCCACACGTCAGTGGAATGAAAATCCTATTCTAACTAACAAGAGAGCCGGGCCAGGACCACATGTCATAGTAGTACCTCTCTATGTTACTGTACCAGCAGCATAGTAGCATGCTCATGCTCATGATCATCCATAGCAGCGTACATGTAGAGTTGTAGACCACAGAGAACTCATGAAGCCCATGGAGAATATTTAAGCCAGTAAAGACGTACTGAGTGTTCACATAGTAGACCTTTTCTGCCCTGAAGATCAACCACATCGAGTTTGTTGGCAAGCAAAGAATCAGGTTCCATTTCAGCATGTGTTTACTGCCCCCATTGTGGAATATTTTCTTGCCTCCTCGACGAACCAAGCACCAACCTTCCATCACCTGTATTTGCAAAGGCAAAAAATCCCCATTTTTCAACCAAAAGTGTGTGTCAATGAACCTTCTTTCCTTCGTCGGTTCGACGGTTCTTGTATAGTTGTGCATGACAACCACCGAAATTTCTTCTAGTTTCTGATTGGATCTCCTTTTCTTCAGAGCGAGTGGGATCCAAAGACAGGGGGAAGAAAGAGAGAGCAAAGAAAAAAAAGGAAGAAGCAAACGGAAAGCTGCAGATTCCCGCGCCACGTGTGAGCGGGACGGTTGATCTCCTCCGCCGATGGAAGCAATGCATGTTACTGCCCCGGAACCAAAAATGGCGGCGTCCACTCCCCTTCCCACGCTCCCTCTCCCCTCACCCTCACTCCCGCTCTAGAAAGCCGAAGCCGCGGCCGATCGGTTCATCTTTTTCTTCTTCTTCTTCTCCCGCACACCCAATGCCTCCCACTACCGTCACGCTGCTACCAGCGTGCGCCGTGTTGCTGCTGTGTTGCCGTCTCTCGCCGGCGGCCGCGGCGTCGGCGTCGCCCGGCGATGTCGGCGGAGGCGGGGCCAGGCGGGTGCTCCACCAGCCATTGTTCCCAATCGAGTGGACGCCGCCGCCGGCGCCGCCGCCTCCGCCGGCGCCGGACTTCACCTCCGACCCGGCGACGCCGGACGGGCCTCCTGGCGACTTCTTCCCTCCGGCGCCACCGACGGCGCCTGCTGGCGGCGGAGGCACGGCGACGACGTCCTCGACGCCGACCACCGTCGCCGCCAACGTCCCGAGCGCCTCGTCAGGGTCTGGTGATGGCGGCCACCACGGCGGCCCTGCGAAAGGGACCATCGTCGCGGCGGGGGGGCCGCGGCCGCGGCCTTCGCGCTGCTGGCCTTCGCGTGCGCGTTCCTCATCGCGGGCCGCGCGCGCCGCCGCGGGGACTCGCAGAAGCTGCTCGGCCCCGACCGCGGGTCCGCGCGCCACCACTCTGCGCCCTCGGCCGCCGACTTCCTCTACGTCGGCACGGTGGAGCCCACCACGCCCGGCCGCCACCACGGGCCCACCGCCGCCGATCTCGTTGGGTCCCCGTACCGCAAGCTGCGCACCGAGCGCGCGCGCCGCGGGGTGGGCCGCGACGAGCCCACCGACCACCCGAGCCCGGAGCTCCGGCCGCTCCCGCCGCTGCGCCGCGCGGCCACAGTGGGCTCCTCTGACGACGATGCCTACTACACGCCGCGCCAGCGCCCGGCGGCGGCGGGGTTGGCGGCGAAACGTGGAGTGAGGCCAGCGCGTCCAGCCCGCCCACCACCACCACCGCGTCCCGCCGAAGCCTCCCCAGCCTCACCAGCGACTGCTTTCCTCCGGTCGCGGCCATTGCTGCACCGACACCGCCCCCTGCGCGGTCCCGCCGTACGCCCCCACGCACGCGCTTCTCTGCCGGCTCGACCCCTGACATCAAACAGGTGATCTCGCCGTCCCCGCGGTCGGTGCAACCACCCAAAGCAGCGCCGCCGCCGCCACCACCTCCTCCACCGCCACCGCCGAAGTCTATCACAGCTCCAAAACCTCCTCCTCCTCCTCCGCCGCTGCCACCAATGATTCCATCTAATACCCAACCGAAGCCCGCGCAGCCGCCTTCTGAACCGACGTCGCGCCGCCGGTTGCTCAAGCCGTTGCCACCTGAGGGCCCCCGCATTGCCTTTCCTATGCCGATCACGGCGGCAACGGCAGAGGATAGTATCGGGAGCGCGTCAATGCGTAAACAGGATGACGTGGCAGACGGTATCGTTGGCAACGGCGAGCCGCGGCCGAAGCTGAAGCCGCTGCACTGGGACAAGGTGCGAGCGACCTCCGACCGCGCCATGGTCTGGGACCAGCTGAAGTCAAGCTCATTCCAGCTGAGATCTTGTTTCATACTACATGCTCTGTTAATGGCTGGATATCAGTGAATATACGTGATGTTGAGGCATTTCTTTCAGGTTGGATGAGGACATGATCGAGGCATTGTTCATGAACAACTCAACGCCAGCCGCACCGCCGAGAGATGCGGGAAGGAAGTCCACCGTTCCACCATTCAAGCAGGAGGAGAGGGTGCTCGACCCCAAGAAAGCGCAGAACATTGCCATCCTGCTCCGTGCATTGAATGTTACACGCGATGAGGTCTCTGATGCACTGTTGGATGGTGAGTGTCACTACACTTCTCCTTGGGCCTTTGCAGCGCTGATTTTGTTGTTTGGATAAATTCAGTGGCCAATGTTTCTTGCTGAAAAGTAATTTCCCTGTTTTGATACCGAAAACATTGAAATGACTTTAAAAATCTAGCTAAAATAAGAGTTTCCTTTTTCATTTCTATATTCTAATTCACAATTTCGATTTGTCATCATCGACTGTTATTGGTATTCAGCATCTGGATGCTTTGGTAAGACATTCTTTTCAAATATTAGTGGCTCTTAACTTTCTATGATATTTTTCCTTTTGGAGCTTGATGGTCATAGCAGTTCAATAGTGACAGGTACTTAAGATGTGTTGAAACTAACAGAAACCGTGTTTTTTGATAACCAAATCTCAACAGATTACTAGGATATGAAATCTCTACAGGACAAAGATCCTCCATATTTCTATCTATTGTAGGGGATGGTATCAGTGAATGTTGGCGATAGTGTTGACATCCAAAGATAAACTAGGCAGGAAAAATAGCACTTGTTTTGGGTTTTGTTTTTTCAGTCATAACTATTCTTTATGACAATGATTCTTTTGAACTCAAGCTGTGGAGCATCTTAGTCAAATTCTCTCTACAGATTGCTCTGTTTCTACACAGAAAGGCTGAATGTTACACGTAATCAGTTTACTGATTTACGCTGGTGCCTATTGCAGTCTTAGCTGTTTTGACATTTAAAATATAAATCTCTATAAAATAGAGCTTATGGGCCATTAATTTGTCATTTCTACTGTATTATCAAACAGGCAACGCTGAATGTTTGGGGACTGAACTTTTGGAGACTTTAGTCAAGATGGCTCCTACTAAAGAGGAAGAACTCAAACTACGAGATTATAATGGTGATGCATCGAAGCTTGGTTCTGCAGAGCGGTTTCTCAAAGCTGTGCTTGATATACCTTTTGCCTTCAAGAGAGTTGATGCCATGCTATACCGAGCCAATTTTGAGACCGAAATAAATTACTTAATGAAATCTTTTGAGACACTAGAGGTACGCTGAAATGGTAATCCATGCTGCATTAATCCTTCTTTCACTTCCATTATTTTGATTACTGTGGTTTTTTTTGGCCCGGTTTCCACTCAAAAAACTGGGCCGACCTTTGTATTTTTATTTTCTCCGTTTAATAAAAATTGCGGCAAAGCTTTAGCCGTCCCTTCTAAAAAAAATTATTTTGATTACTAACATTATCATTGACCTGTGTGTCAATCCACAACTGAGATTTAGACTTATAGGTACCTAACATTTCTTCACTTGTTTTCAGGCAGCCTGCGAAGATCTTAGAGGCAGCAGGTTGTTCCTGAAACTCCTCGAAGCAGTGCTGAGAACCGGGAACCGGATGAATGTTGGCACAAACCGGGGTGAGGCACAAGCTTTCAAGCTTGACACTCTCCTAAAACTTGCTGATGTCAAGGGCACTGATGGTAAAACAACGCTGTTGCATTTTGTCGTCCAAGAAATCATTCGATCAGAAGATGCAAAATCAGAAAAAGAAAGTGCCATGATTATTCATAGCTCTAAAGATGAGCAGTTACGGAAGCAAGGCCTGAAACTTGTCTCTGGGCTTAGCAGTGAGCTAGGAAATGTCAAGAAAGCAGCTATGATGGACTTTGATGTGTTGCATGGTTATGTTAATAAGCTAGAAACAGGTCTTGAAAAGATCAAGTCGGTCTTGCAGCTCGAGAGGCAATGCACTCAGGGCCAGAAGTTCTTTACAACAATGCAAAGTTTTCTGAAGAAAGCCGAGATGGAGATAGAGAAAGTCAGAGGGAGGAGAAGAGGGCCTTGGTGAGAGTAAAAGACATCACCGAGTACTTCCATGGTGACACCTCGAAAGAGGAAGCGCACCCTCTTAGGATATTCATGGTGGTAAGGGACTTCCTCTCGACATTGGATCATGTCTGCAAGGAGGTTGGCAGGTTGCAGCAGGATAGAACGGTCATTGGGTCGGCCAGGTCTTTCCGCATTTCAGCCACCTCACTGCCAGTTCTAAGTGTGTATGGACAACGAAAGGAGAACAACTCTGATGATGACAGTTCATCATCCTAGGACAGCAAGACTGAGGGACAAATCACAAAGTCACAAAACTGAATTTTGAAGGAACACAGCACACCAGCTATGCCTGTTTTAGCTGCTGAAGCGGATGTCGCGTTGGCATTTGCCATGAGGCACACGTTTAAGGTTGGGAGGACGAAGGTCAGGGGTGGGGGGGGGTATACTTTTGGATCCTGTGGAAATTCTTTTTGTACAAAAAGAAAAATAACCATAGCAGGTTCTTTCTCTCTTGTTGGGTGACTTGCAGAAATTGAGGTTGAGGCTTAGAAAAGCTGCCCACTTTCAGTAAGTAGTGCAGTGCAGCTTCTGGGATATGGCTTCTTATGTAATTATGCTCATCTGATATAATCTGGGAACATGTTATCTCTTATCTGCATGTAAACTTTGCTCTCCTCGTAATATATGGTAACAACAACAATTTTGAGGGTGGGGGCGGGATTGGGTTGAATGGGAGCCCCTTCAACAAGCGAAGGAATTTTGCCTATGTCAATCTTTGCCCAGCACACATCTCTTCTAGTAAATCCAAATCCACATAGCCGTTGGGAGACTATTGGACCTTGGAACATTGCTAAGAAAGACTTAAAATAAAGCGGAAGTAAGAACGACTCAAGAACAACCCTTGAAATCTAAGATGTGAAGTTCAACATAAATCTCCAGAAAATTTGCAAATGCTGGGAAGTAGAAGTACTAAAGCCCCTTCCAATGAATATTTAGTGGATGCGCAAAAGCTACAGACGAGCTCGGCCATCCTTCCTAATATCGTTAAGAAAAATGTTAGAGACGTCGAACGGAAGAGGAAAAGGATGTGTGAGTATTACTGCCAGCAAAGGTACCAATACCATCATAGTCTACTTACATTACTCCATTCGGCAGAACTGCAGAAGCAGGCAAGCAGCCTTGTTCATCCATGCCGCTGCCTTTTCTCTGGGCATATGATCATTTCAGGATTACATCTTTGCGTAGATATGAAGAAAGGGTGGGGCATATGGCTGCGGCAAAAGTACATTCCAGTATTTTTTAGGTGATTGATTAAAGCCACCTCCACGACTACTCTTCCTCTAGTGTCTAAACATTAATGGAATTTTGTTGAAAAAAATGAAATGAAATATTTGTTCAAGTATTCAGCATATGTCTGAACAATTCAAGAGCCCATCTGGCGGTACTGCTTCTAACTCAAAACATAAAGATTCAAGAAACACTTCCTCTGCTTCTATATATCTAGGCACAGCGTATCTAAGTCATACATGGCGTATAAGATTGGGTGAAGTCTAAAATACTACCCTTAATAAGGCCTTAAGTATGGCCTATGTCCATGTGACCCCCTCAACTATCGTTTGGTTCGGTTTATTCCCTTCAATTATTTTTAGTTGATCTAGTTTAAAAAAACACACACACACACACACAACTAGTTTATTCCTTTGTCTCTCCACATTTAAGTTGACTTTTACTTTCAAATTCTACGAGGGGACATATAGCACCATAATTTATGTTTAGAAAATAGGTCATAAATTTATATCATTATTTTGATAGGTTAAGACATAATAATAAATTAATTAGTTAACACTGGAAATACAAAATTATAGTAAACATAATGATATAAAATTTATATTGTATTTTTTTAAAATAATTTATGATGTCCACTATCACCTCACAAATATTGAAACCAAAAGAGAAATGAAAAAGATAAATCTTGTTAAAGGGTAAACTAGACCAAGTAAAATAGTTAATGCCCTGTTTGGAATATGGGAAATTTTTCATATCCTTGCAAATGTAAGATTGAACTGATTCCTATGAAACTCCGCCATAAGGGATGTAAACCGAACCAAACTTGGAGGTCATCAGTTGGGACTTTTTCCTATAAGATTTCTATAGGGGTGGGACATTGGGTGAACCTAAGTTAAAAGCATGTTTAAAAATACATATGATATTTCCCCTTTTTTAGGGCAATTACAAATGCTATTTTCGACAATATGGATGACAACATATGTGTGGGTTACTTCATGGCATTATTTGATTTAAAATGGAACAAGCACAAAAATTTGGATGGTCAAGTATGAGTGCCACCAAAAATGCCATTTACAGTATCGCCCTTCAAAAGTAGAAGGCTACCAGCAGCTAAAGCCCTGTCAATCCTTGCATATGCTTCTTCATTGCCCGATCTCTCCTGTGATGGTTCCGGCCACCTCCCCTTCCATGGCCACCACCACGAGGAGCTGGTCCTCGAGTAAAGCCTTGTGCTTGATCATGATGGCCTTCATTATCCTCGGCTGAATGGTCATGGTTCATGCTGCCCCGTCTTGCTCCACGGCCAAAACCTTCTTGCCTGCCACTAGAGTTACCGTCTTCCTTCGCTGGGCCACCCTGATTCCAGCCCCTCTTCTGCCACCACGGCCAAAACCTTGTTGACCATTAGGGTTCCAGTTTTCCTCAGCAGGATTGCCCTGATTCCAGCTTCCTCTTCTACCACCAAAGCCAGAGCCTCGTCCATTGAGCTCTCTCATTCTCCTCCGGACGGTTGCCTTCCTGCCACCTTTTCTTCCTTGGCCACGGGAATTTGAACCTCTGCCTGAGTTGTCAGCATCACCTACCTCCTCTTCCTCCACATCTATATGTTGCCTGTTTGAGACACCAAAAGGAACATTTCCACCACGACCCAGACCATAGATTGTATCTTTTTGAGTTTGCCTCATGACAGCTGCTTCTCGAGCACTGGATACAGCAACCGAACCAGCGACCTTGTAGCTATAATTCTTCCCATCCTTGACATAAAACTGTGGTTTCTTCTGTGAACTCCATCTTGGGCCATGTGATGAAGCCTCAGAGTCATTGGCACCATCAGTTTCCTCATAACTTGACTCTACCACACTGAAGCCAAGATCATCAAATGAATCATCATACTCATCTTCATACTCATACTGTGAGTCAAAGATAACAGATCTAGCTGCATCTTTAGCATTTTTCGAGTCCAGGATTGCAGTGTCTGGCAAATCATCATTGGCCTTCCTTGTAAATCTACCTTTTGGGACAGATGATACGGATGAGGATGGGCCCAGAGATGCTGATGAAACAGCAAAAGATGATCCCTGGAATGCTAATGAAATTGCAGAAGATGGCCCGAGGGATGCTGGTGACATTGCAGAAGATGATCCCTGGGATGCTGACGAAATTGCAGAAGATGGACCTTGTGATGCCGATGAAGTTGCTGAAGATGGGCCATCTTGAACAACGTAATGTGTCTCAGCAACTTTATGAGGTCTCTTTGTAATTTGAGGTGCAGTTTGCACCAATATGCTCTTCCCTTTATCTTTCACAGCAGTTGGTAAAAGTTTTTTCTGTGGCATCTCTTCTAATGAAGTATCCAAAGCTAGAAGATCTTGATGAAGTGTTCCTTCTAATATCCTTTGGATAACTTCCTCAGGGTTCAGGTTGTAGGCTTCCAGGCAAGCAGAAAGGAAACCCTTCCCATAATCAGGAAAAGGTCCCTTATCTGACTAATCTTGGACTCAACCATCGCCGTTTCCTCATCCTTCTGTTGTAATTCACCACCATGAGAAGAGACTGGCAAATCAGGTATGCCATTCCAAGAAGTGTGAGTAGATCCACACAATCGTGATAAGAACTGGAACTGCTCATCATCCATGTATATCCATCCTGTTACGAGTTCAAGGAACACAAATCACATTACACAAAAGGTCTACACCATCAGATGAAATTCGAAAGTAAAAGCAAATGTAGCATGTACATTAATTAATTAAAAATGCTGAGGTAAATTATTCACATGACAGAATCCAGAAATAACTGAAACAATGAACAATTATGAAATCACAAATCAAGTATCAAGGATGATATCAACAAACATCGCTTTAATTGGGGTTGAAATCCTCCTTAACTAACTCTAGAATTGACTCCTAATACATAAACACGTTAGAACTCAGTAAGAAAATTAAGCCTAAGAAACACTTTGATTAGCAGCCTTATTAAGTAAAATGGAGGTTTGTAAAACTGTATGTGGTTTCATGGAAGGACATCGCTTCATTATACATAGTCTAGAAGTGTTCACAGGGATCGAAACAAGCAGCAGCAAACAACAGGCTATATGATGGGGGAAACAAGACAGTTCAAATGAATACACTCATAATAAGCATGAAATATCCAATTGAATGATGATTCTGACGAGAAAATTTCCTTTTAATAACACAGAATTGTGATCCTGCTATCCAAACTTTGCCATTTATTGGGAGATTGATAGTTCACAAAACTGGAAAGTCTAAGCTTCTAAGAAAAACTCCGAAACATGTCACCTTTTCAATTGTGTTGACTCACAGTAATTGTAAGAGCAGGCATCACAGTAGAATAAATATTTTTCATAACTGTGTGCAGAAAATGTCCTTGCATGAGCTACTAACACTTTAAGATGACTTGTGTAAATAAGCTATTAGATCGTACACTAAATATAACAAGTACTATTTAAGCACTTGATTGAAGAACTCCAGTGCATACCTTTGTTCCGAATATCACCAATCTGGCTCATTAATTGAAATTCACTTTCAAGTGCTTGGAGGAAAGTATTTCCATGGTTCACTTGAGAAGAGTAAGTGGCTTCTCTATTTATAGCTTTGAGTGTTTGAACCAAGATGTCTCCCCTGATCATAGGGTCTTCGACTTTAGCTGGAAACATCTTAGTAGAAGTTTGAGCATCGTGCTCCCTAACTTGATCATTTAAATAGCAGTAGTGCAACAATCTCCAACCAAATCTCACTGTTCTCTTTGACAACATCCTTATACCAAGAGGAATGTCACTAAGTGTTCTGTCAAGTGATGCCTCTGCATTGCTCTGGGACTTGGGCATAACTTTAAACCCCTGGAGCAATGATGGTAACAATGAATCATACAACCTTGCAAGGGCATTCAGCAATTCCTCAACTCCATAGCTGCAATCAGGGAGGAGGCAAGAACTGTTACAGAGTGATAAAACAGGGAAAGATCTCGATGTC